AATGATCCAGTCTATTCACATCATACAGAATATTTTTAAGTGAGGTCACTTAATCATCATTATTTACAAATTAGATTAATATTTTGTGTGTGAATAAAACCTGATTTTTCAGTGCACATAACATTATCATTATGATATTGGCACATATCCTCATTCATAAACACAGCCCCCCCCCCCCCCCCCCCCCCCCCATAAGTCTCTTTGCACAACATTATTACTCAGTGATATTACAAGTAAGGAAGAGAATATATGGATGTCAACTTCTTTATTATTATAACTTCACAATTAATAAGTTGACATCCATATATTCTCTACCTCATGTGTATCACTTCTTAATGCCTTTCAAAGACTTGATATTACAAGTTTTGACAAAAATTCACAACAATTTCAAATTACATTGCCAACATGCACATAATAGGCCTTCTTATGACTATAGTTTGTGTAATCTCCCCTACAAATATAATTCTGTGACGTTCCTTATCAGTGCTGAACATTTATTATTGGAAAAGGCTCAGGATAGATGTAATGGAAATTTGCCATAACATTGTATGATGCATAAACCGGGAGCAGATTACAATTGCAAGTACCCTCTGTCTTTTTGACAATAAATAACAAATTCAATGAAACGAGTCACAGCACGACTGTTCATGTTCATATTTCAACGCCATCATCACTGTACGTGTGATGATTAACCGATCAGTATTGACTTATTTACACTGACAATTATACCAGCTTATAAGAAGTGTGCGAAAAGTGAAAACGTACCTCAATATTAATGAATGGGTAGCGGCCAGTTTGACATCGACCATTGGACGTCTTGACAACACTGCAACTGCTTTGACAAGCCAACACTTGCTATTCATGCTACCTGACTCGAGTGTTTTAATGACTGTGACAATGTCATGTTTTCCTAAGTTACACCAGCGTGTTCCGAATATGATTCGCCGGGCCCTGTCCGACGTAACACTGCTGGCGCGTTTGCCGCGAGACGTTGTTTGTCACCGGAAGTACCAAATAACGTAAGGTCTCGCGAAGTCCCGTGAACTACTTACAACTCCTACTGCATGCACGTGTGTGTGCTTGTACTAGTCCGGACTGATGCCGATGTATAGTGCTAGCCCACTGAGATACCATGTCGCAGTTTAACATGAATACCCCACTCAGAGCAGACCAGTCCTTGTTTTAGCCCCTTAATGTCGAGCGCCAGGCAGGGTAACAACAAGTACCATGTTTTAACGTCTTTTGGTTTGATGCGGCCGGGGATCGAACCCCGGACCTTCCACTCTCCTGGCGGACAATCTACCACTAGACCATGGAGTCGTGAAACTAAATTTTCACAAGTAAAATTGAATTATTTAAAATAGAATTTGTGGATATGGAAACAATGGCAGAACTTAATTATACTGAGAAATGTAAAAAAAATACAAATATGTGGTCACTAAGAACTTTGACCACTGACCACTTTGAACATTGTATGAGTAGAAAAATAGTCCTTGAGCCTCAATTGTTATCAAAGCAAATCTCAATATGGATATGGAAAATAGGTACTTAACTAGATACATAGTTTATCAAGTAAAATATGCCAAGGACACATATGATAAAAAGACTCTATTGAATGTGTTACAGTTTGTGCATACATATGGACATTATCATTGGTGACCATGTAACTATGGAAATTATCATTGACGGGTGTCATTATGTAGTTAACGAAATGGTTTTTGTCTCTGTTATTTAAATGCAAATATTAAATATCGAAAAACATTGGCAACTGTCTTACAAATGATTCCAGTGCTAGCATAGAATAATATTTCGAATGTATGTTTCCGTTGACTGTTCATTGTCATTATAATCAATAGTGAATCGAGTGAAACAACTGTGTAATGAACATTCATGATCAATGCCTATTATGCGACCAACATCAATCATCAAGTTGACAGTGACATAACAACATGTGAGTTGTGTAAATACCTGCCTGTATACACCCAAAAGGATATGCCTAAAAGTAAGTTTCACTTTCAAAAAAATAATAATAATCGGACTTTGATGACAACTGTTTCTGTCGCAAACGTCCTGTACTATTTCATCTTATACCAGTTCCGTGTGTTTAGACCCTAGCTTCAGCAGGTGCGTCTACTGTGTGCACGTGTTAGGGTTGAATATGGGGGAGAACGCCTTTGTTCAAGTTTTTCCATTATTGTATATAGCACATCGTGTTCGTAGTCCACGTGGTAGGTAGGTTAGTGCTACAACACCGCCGTCACGTTTGCCGTCACGTTTGTCGTCACGTAAATGATCCACTTAATTAATGAAGTATGTGTAATAACAATACAACAATTTTAGTGTAAGAAATATTCACTTTATACAGAAAGGGACTGTAAAGGAATTATGTAAACAGTTTATAAATGAGAGTTAGTATAAGAATCTGTTAATGTATATACCCATGAAGAAGTTATATAAAAATAAAAAGTATACTATTACGTCACACATTTACAGCTCGATTTCACAGTGCACTTACCGGGCTTTTTATACCATGCGATATCTTCGACCTGAAGAATTGCAAATAAGTAAGTAGCAATTTGTTTTATTCTTTATTGAATCTAAAGAAAACTTTGCGTACAAGAAAATCTGACATGGGAAAAATACACCAAAGCAATTGAAATCTATTGACGAGAACATCCGGACAACTAACTTCATTGCTCTTTGAAATAACAAATGCATTTGTAATCGATTGTGGGTTTCATTGAATTTACTAGTATGATTACATTTGTATCGGATGACAGAAGGTGATATATTCGATGCTCATAATGATGTAAATAACTCACAACTAAGAAACATATACTTATCATATAATGTAAAGGTTTCCTGGCAGGATAAAGCCAAAGGATTTAAACGATGTGCGTTAGGGTCCTATATGGATAAAGATGCAAATGTGAAAGGTCAGTTAGATACTACTTTCAGTGTTTACAAACAAACATGGCGTTGTTGTCAATCGGCGATCGAGTCAGAATAAACCATCGGGGATGTGGAAAAGCTTCTGGGATCATTGTTATCATTATCAAAAAAATAGTCTCAGATACTGAAAACCTGTTTCTACTGGGACAAAGCTTAGGTATTTTACAAGTTATGACAACTTTGGAAATATAAATTGCGAAACAATTTAGTGAACACACCAGCCTGGCGGGATCAGTTTCCATATCTGTTCCACTTTTGCGGCTTGGGGCCCTTTCCGTTACTTTAAGAAGTTGGATTTGGCCGAAATGTGTCCGAATTGTGTGTACATCTAACTCTTCACTTCCTAACGTTATAACACTATTAGGCAGACACTCAGCAAACTTGACGTTTCATAGACTTGTGTTAGATTAGCTTCACTTTAATAAAGTGCAGTTACTCTAACGGGAGAAACGATGGATGGTTGTGAAAGGCAAGTAGAAACAATATGTGAAGGCAATTGTTATTTTGCCTATATGTAGTTGCGCCCCTGTCTAGGAAACAGGTTTCAGTTGGAACTATATTGACTGTTGTCAGTGGCCGTCTGACAAAAAATGTTAATAGCCGATCGTCTGACGTAATATATACTCACACGCAAAAGAAACGCAGGTCGAGTATGCAGTATACATGTTATTTATTTTCAACAGTAAAGACAAGAAATTCTAATAGGGCAAGATTGACAAAAAATTGACTGAAGACAATTTAATTGATTAAAAGGCAGATGACATAATTGTTTTTCCAAATGTTAAGGGTTTACACAGTGTCGGGTCAATACCCAAAATGTCAGACAATACCTGGTGTGACCACCATTAGCATTGGTCACTGCCACACATCTCCTGTACATTGAGTGGATGAGACGATTTGTGAAGGCCCTAGGGATCCTCCTGCACACATCCAGAGCAGCTGTGCGTAGTTCATCGGCAGTTGTAGGGACTGGGCGCACATTGTGCAGACACCTTTGAACCTCATCCCACAAGTGCTCGATGGGGTTCAGATCGGGGCTGAGGGCTGGCCACGGTAGAACACGGATGTTGTGTTGTTGCAGAAAGGCCATGGTAGCTCTGGCAACATGGGGACGAGCGTTGTCCTGCTGGAAAATGTGTTGTTGATGTTTTGCAAAAAATGGAACAACGTGGGGTCTGGTCACTTGGTCGATGTACCGCTGAGCAAAGACGCTGTGTCCCCGACCTTGACCAACATTCAGAAAGCACATGGGTCCAAGTCTCGCATTAAGTCCAATCCCTGCCCATATCATGGCGCTAGGTCCACCCCATGGATCCCTTTCCACAACGTTTCTGTCAGCGAAACGAAATTCTGACTCTTCCGTCTGCATGGGAGACACAAAAGCAATTTTCATCAGAGAAGATGACAAGCCTCCACTCACGATGACGCCAATTGTGATGACCCTGTGCCCACTGAAGTCGTGCTTGTCGATGCCGTGGTTGGAGAACAGGACGACGTGCTGGTCGGCGACAGCTGAGGTTGTTGGAACGGAGACGTCGGATCCCAGTGTCCCGGCTAATGTGTCGATTATGTGTGCTATGGTCTGTCGAGCACTTTCACTTGCAGTTAGGAAGGGATGTCGCTGGTGTTGACGGGTAATCTGCCGATCTTGTCGAGGTGTGGTGACCCTAGGACGACCGCTCCAAGGAAGGTCATCTGTGGTCTGTGGAGCATTGTATCGATGCAGGGGACGGTAAATTGTTGTTATGTTAACGTTGAAATGACGGGCAACATCTTGGACAGACTCTCCAGCTTCCAAACGTCCGATTGACCAAGGAGTGGTAGGTCCAAGAATCGGCCACAGTATTATACCCACTACAGTTCGTGACAGTTCGTGCATTTTCGATTTCGCGAGAAATGGATGCATGATACCCACATACTCATTGAAATGGTGCGTTTTAGGGATTCGTTTTTTATGTTGCGTTTTTACTCGGGGCTTCCAAATTGCAACCAAAATTATTGATAACACCATCAGGCTTCACTACATGCTAAAACTCGTATCAATTTATGGTTCCGTGTTTGTTACCTATTTGCTTAAAACCACTTGCGTTTCTTTTGCGTGAAAGTATATATTAATGCGCACATTCCAGGAAAACCTGCAATGTTTAGGTATTGTTTTTAAGAACAGGTTTTACGACGGCAGATTTACGAATGACATTTAAAGACGTCATCACTCTTGTGTGATGTAGGATGGTTAATATCCTGTATTAGGAATGAACACAAGAAAAACAATGTTTATTCCTAAAACAGGGTATTTACCACTCCCAAGAAACGTTCTTTATTTTTTGCTTTGCGCGGCTTTATATATCGAATTCACATATGAAGGGAAGTCGATACCAGCAGACGATGTCGTTACACCCAGACACAGCTGTGACGAGACACTTTCCCCATCCATTCCCACAGTTGCTGTTGGGTTGATTCGGCATCCATCTGAAGTAGGTTACATTGTCTCCATTCGAGTACTTCCAGCCGCCTACCACATTACACGTGCCATCGGTGTGAACTGAAATTATGAGTCAATTAGGTCGTCTATTTTAGCTTTCTCCAATATAATATGACATATATCATTTTTACATCTACTTTTATAAGATTTCTGGTTCTGCAAAAAAAAGAAAACATTTCCTCAAAAAACATTTCCAATCATTATATACCATCGTACATTGTAGTGCTGTACCCGTACAGTTATGGATCTGAAAAAAATTACTCTAAAAAGGCTATACGGAATATATACTCTTACACAAATAGGGGATAATGAAATATAAATGTTAAGACTATGTATGAGAACACAGAAAAGGGTTGACGACAAACATCCTTCTCAAGAACGCTGTCTGTAGGGTGTCATTCCTGATTTTGACACTTTCAAGGAAGGTCGATTAGTCTCTGTTGACCATGATTTCTGTCAATCGTACTGATTCTGCTTATGATACAGATGAGATTTACTTCATTTTCTTCATTGTTTGTGTGTGAACTAGCAATGCTGCGTCTGCAACGCGCTGAGCCACTTCCTGCTGTTAGCATGCTGGAAGGAGGCATGCAATGGCCAAAACGTCCAATGCTTCACAGTCTGTGACAATCGCAAAAGGTGCCAACAAACCAAAACGTTAACGATCTTCCCCCGTTCAGGGCGTCCCTGGTCAACGAAAAGAGTACAAGATCGATTGATCCGAAACCAGGCTATGCGAAATCGAGCTCAAACGGCGAATCAAATTGCTGGAAATTTTCATCAGGCTACTGGAGTACGAGTTATGGGTCAGACGATTAGATTGTACCAAGATGGTAACGTTATTTTCGCTCTTTCACTCCACCTGTTAAATGGTTACATGACGTTTATTTGAATTGGGTGTGGGCAGTTGATACATAATGTATAGTTTTGCCATTCATAGCGACTTAGACACATTTTTGTGGAAAGATATCAAACGTGTATTACGAAGATTTCAAAAAACAATAAATGAATCTTATCAGGGTTACAGTAGTTAGGGTCTTTATAGAGCTTTCAAAGAAAGTTCTGTGGTAGACATGTGGTGGACCTTTTCGGGAATATCTTGTATGATCGCCCCTAGTCTATTTAATAGTGATTTATAAAGAAAGGCTTATGATATAGTCGGAATCGTAAAATTGACCATGCTTTTCGTAAAGATTTCTAATTATTATGGAAATGTTTTTGTGGCTTTGAATTTCTATCAGTGGGTTGAGTAATACGAAAATGTATCAAAGAGACAGATGACAAAGTGAGGATAAATACTATTACATTCGATGGGGTTTCATATTTACATCAACCCCATATGCCTCAATGGCGATTTTATATTGATAACTATTCTCTACATTGGTATGTGTAAGTATGTGTAGTGGCAGAAGAAACTGTTGTAAATATATTCATCGTAATTGTCAGTGACAAAAGGTGATTGAACTACTTGGGTATGTGCTTTCATGGCCAGATTAGAACAGCAGTCAACAGAAACGAATGGAGCTTTCATTGATCCTTCTACACGTTTCGGGATTGGACAGTTTCTGTAAGGCCAAGGTGGCAATTCGGGGCCCTTTTCGACATGACTTGCTTCTGATCTACTTGCCGAGTTCGGTTTTGATAATCTATTTGGAAACAGCCTTGAGCTTTCTGCACAATTCTAAATTCAATAACGTAGACAGATTCAGACAATTTTGAACATTTTCTAGTAAGGTGAACAACTGTTTGTGACGGGTGTTACTGGTGGGACAGGATATGCTGATCTCTTCGTGAACACCTGGCACCACCACTATTGTGTCGTGATTTATAAACACATGTGTATTATATAGTCGGAATCGTGCAATGGACTCAGCTTCAAGTAAAGATTTCTTACGATTATGGAAATGTGTTTTGTCGCGTTTAATGAATGTAATATCTGAAAGTTGTCATAGAGAAAGATGGAAAAGAGAGGATTATTACAATATGTACACTTCTTGGTGTATCGTATTGATACTATAACATCTGCCCTAATCTGCTGTAAGGTTATAATTTGCTGCTAGAAGATCATGGATGTATCGTGGCTGAATGTGTTGCTGAGTGGCTTCGATTAAATATACTCTTCAAGAAAAGAAACGCAATACGGATATTTTTGGCCATAAAATCAAAATTAGCTGACCAAGAGGTGCAGAATGAAGAGGATTAATGTGTTGTAGTGTCAGTGACAATCTTCCCGGATCAAAATGATCACAACAAGGACCATTAGTTGGGAAACACGCACCATTCGGAAAAACGCACCCATTGCATTAACAAAAAGGTACTGGAGCTGCAAGTACTGCACGCGCAGCAGCACTATGGTCGGTATTAAAAGGATCAGGGATCACAAGAGCCTGTCTACACAACGACAACGTTGATGTTCTCCCCTAGCCCTCAAGCTCCCCGGATTTAAAACCGATAGAACACCTGTGGGATGAATTGAATAGATGGCTTCGCCGAGGTCAACCACAACCCCAGACGTTACAGCAGTTGGCTTTTGCGTTGCAGGCCGAGTGGGCTACCATTCCCCAGGATGTGATTCGCATATTCGTCTCTTCCATGGGCAGAAGATGTCAGGCCGCTATCGATTCCAACGGGGGACATACACGTTATTGATGGTAGCTGACCTTCACCGTGGACTTTTCCTTTGTACCGATAACTGAGATGACTGACGTTCTCTCCACAACACTTTGGCTCAATACATTGTATTTTTCTACCTCACACAAATCTGGCCGTGTGTTTCATTTTTTTAAGAGTATGCTATTTAATGTAGTTAGTTTATTGGTAATTATTCATCACATGCATCATGTGGTAATACAGATAATACAGGCTCAGTGACTCGCAACAAGTGACAAATGTGTAGACATATAATATACACAGAGAAATAAGTATCGCAACTCGCAACTAATGACTCGTCTGATCTGTTCCTGTGTGAGAATGTTCCAGTCCTGGTGTAGTGCCTGTTCCAATTCATCAACATTCTGCACTGGTGGCCCCCTCTGGCGGATTTTACGTCAAAGAATGCCCCAGATATGCTCGATGGGATTGAGGTCTGGGCTTCTGGCTGGCCAAGGTAGGGTAGTGACAGCCTCTTGACGCCGAAAATCCACAAAAGCACGCGCACGGTGTGGTCGCGCGTTATCATCCATGAAGACTGGCCTTGTGTTTAGAGCATGATTGTCAAAATGAGGCACTACAACCCTGTCAAGGATTTCTGTTTGGTATCGTTGGCCATTAAGGTTGCCTCTCACTGTTACCAGTGGCAGCTTGCAGTCATATGACAAGCAACCCCAGATCATAACAGAGCCGCCGCCAAATGGAACATGTTTCAGAATTTTCCTCTCAGCATATGCCATCTTATTACGTCGCCAAACACGTGCTCTACCACCTGACTTGAACAACAGAAAGCGACTCTCGTCAGACCAATGGATTTTCCGCCATGACGCAATATTCCAGTGATTACGTGTTCGACACCATGCCAATCGAGCTGCCTTGTGTTCACGTGACAACAGAGGTCTTCTGACAGGTCTCCTGGCACGATAGCCAGCATCTTTAAGTCGATTACGGACAGTTCTGTGGCATATGCGACGGTGAGGTAACCACTCCCTTTTCAGAACAGAGCTTGGTGCAAACGGAAACCGCCGTACAATCCTTATAAGAGCTGCATCCTCTCTTGCTGACGTACAGCGAGGTCTACCAGGACGATGGCGATCCTTGACATCATTAGTCTGATGATGCTTTCGTAACAATCGACTAATGGTTGAAGGATGGTGACCCAACTGCCTTGCAATCTCTCTCATTGACATACCGGCATTGCTCATGCCAATAACTTGCCATCTTTTTTCCGAACTGAGTTGTCGAGGACCCATTGCTAAATTCTGACAGAGGAAACAATGACTTGTAACCTTTACTCAATACAGTGACAGATCTCCAAAACATGATTTTCACGTTGGAAGGGGTGCATGCTTTCCTTGTGCCGTAGACCGGACACGTGCTCGACATGCATCTCATCATGACTGGTATGGAGGTCATGACATGCCATAATTTTCATTTCAAGATTGCCTCTGTATATATATGTCAACACGGTCACTTGACAGCTTACATATCTGCGTGTTGCGATACTTTTTTCTTTGTGTATATATTGGAGATGATGTATGCATTCAAAGGAGGAAAATAAAGGCAAAGGACAACTACTTATGCGAGACTTTTCGTGTGACTACTTACTGGAGGAACTCTTTGGCAAAATGACAGACACAAATTCATCCTTTGCACTTGAAGTGATTCTGATAAGATGACCTCCCTCGGAGACACAGGTGCTTGCAGCTTCATTGTGAGACGTGTAGGTGTCACCGTGTATTTTGAAACACACATTCACCGTGGAATTATAATTATATCCAAGATGACTTGGACAGCCATATCCATCTGAAATAAACATTCTCTACAGCTATGGCAACTCGAAATAGGCACGCCTGAATGGAAATGTGATTGAAACATAACATGTGTTAACATACTCTCAAATCGTACTCTCATCTTTTTTCATAAGAGACCCGTGAAGATTCCGGGGTAGAATAGGTCTTTAGCAACCCATGCTTGCCGTAATAGGTGACTATGCTTGTCGTAAAAGGCGAATAACGGGATCGGGTGGTCAGGCTCACTGATTTGGTTGATGCATGTCATCGATCCCAATTGCGTGGATCGATGCTCATGACATTAATCACTGGATTGTCTGGTCCAGACTCGATTATTTACAGACCGCCGTCATATAGCTGGAATATTGCTGAGTGCGGCGTTAAACAACAAACCAACCAACCAATGTTTTCATAAGGAAACATTAAGTGGCCACAACCTTCCGAAACAAATTTATTTCACAAAAGGAAATGACACACTTAGTGCGTGTGGCTTTTAACCCAGGCAGTACCGTTTCCAGTGAAATCCGGATTAATCAATAGTCTACCATGACATTGTCGATATCGATGCTGTTTGGTCAAAATGATGTTATAACCTGCTATTCGCACACAAGATGTTCGTGTGAAAAGTCTTGTTAATTATGATATATCTAATGGAATGAGAGACCTGATTTTTTATTTTTGTTGACAAGTCAGAAGCGAGCGTTCTTTAGTGGCACAGTAGAATTAGATATAACGCAGTCCATTAGGTGGCGTTACTCTTAACATGTGGATGTGTGTTACTTCAACATGAGACGGTCAAGCGTAAGATTGTCCTTGACCTTATGATTGCTAAGACAAAACAATTTCCAACTTACCTCTGTCGGTGTTGTAGATGTCGAGGTCGGCATTGGTGTCACTTCCCCAGAAGGGAACCTCAAGCCTGCCTGGGTAGGCGTAGCACTGTTTGTTGTACCTGTCGTAAATCAGGGAGACACACTCCTGGTTTTTCAGACAGGAGTTGAAGCAGTCAAGCACATTCTCCACACTTCCTGGCGGGGATATGTCCGAGGGGAGGAAGTGCAGCAGAGACAGATGCAGCTGAAGTCTCACGAGCGCCATGAAGCAATATCAGGCTGTTTGGACAAAGGTGGCAGGCTTTGAGTTTCAGAGGAAATATGTTAGCTCAAAACAGTATTTATAAACTCAACAACAACAGTTCCTCTGACACCACTATTTTAGTGTATTTTTCAAACAAGTAAAGTTTGGTTTTCATTATGTAGTACATGTATGGAATCAAGTCACAAAAACGCAACTGCTACAGAAAAGCATGCATTCCATGCAAAAGTTGACTTTTATGCAAGCCCCATGCATTTCACTACCCAAGAATGGGTAAAAAGACATGTGCGTTAATGGGATTCCATATGCATTGTTTAGCATCGTGCTGACAACCACCACTCAGAAAAACAACACAATTACGCAATTATTCAACATTACGAAATGCCACGCCTGTCCGAAAATTAGCGTCTGCGAGCCATTGGTATGCTTGAAGCAGGATCGAGTCAACGTGATGTTGCAAGACAATTTAACGTCCACAGAAACACCATTTTGTGTTTATGGCAACGTTGGCAACAGAGGAATGAAGTCAGAGACCATCCTCGGAGTGGTAGGCCACGCGCAACCAATAATCGACAAAAAGACAACTAGATTCGAACTACACACCTACGAAATCGATTCCAGCCAGCAACAGTGACTGCAAGAAGCATCCCTGGCCTTCTACGAATACCTTCACAAACCGTACGTCGTCGCCTCAGATGGGCAGGGATTGTCACCAGAAGACCCGCCAGACGTCCCATTTTGACAGGAAACCACCGTCAAGCACGTCTACAGTGGTGCAGACAGCGTCTACGCTGGACGGCCATTCAGTGGGGACAAGTTCTATTCACTGACGAGTCTCGTTTTCACCTCAGCCACAGCGATGGACGGATTCGAGTGTACCGACGTCGAGGTGAACGTTGCGTCAATCATTGTGTCATGGAAGAAGATCGGTTCGGGGGCGGCAGCCTTATGGTATGGGGTGGGATTACAGCAGGTTAGAGGACCCGTTTGTTGGTGGTAGAGGGAAATATCAATGGACAGCGCTACCGCGACGAGATCATCGGCCCTGTTGTTTTACCGTTTTTGCATCGTCATGGCAAAGGCATTACCTTTCAACATGACAACGCCCGACCTCATATTGCTCGACTTGTTCAGGATTCTCTTCAACAAAACAACGTGAATGTCATCCCCTGGCCGGCTCGCTCCCCTGATCTCTCACCACTCCAGCACATGTGGAATGAGATTGATCGGCGCCTTCGACGTCAACCACGTGTTCCACAGACACTCCAGGAACTTCGAAACATGCCCCAGCAGATATGGACAGATAACCCTCAGAACATTGTGCGACGCCTGGTCCATTCCATGAGACGAAGATGTGTTCCTTGCATCGCAACCAGAGGTGGTCACACACGCTATTTATTTGTAAATTGACATTTTGGCATGTTCATGGTGTTTTTTTTATGAAATGGGGCATTTTCTGAAGTCAGTATTGCAAATTAAACCATTTGAACACTTACAAGAGTCTTTCATCTGTTGCAAACCGAAATTGTTTCAGATTTGGTAAAAAACATTACTTTGGATTAAATCTTATTCAATGTTACAGGAACTTTTGTTGTTCATTATATTTTCAAAATCTCAGGCTGTATTGAGAAAAGTGACAGATTATGAGTTTCAGATGACATATGTAGGCTCTTATCAATATATCAATATATATCGTTTTCAGAAACGTTCTTTTCTCTCTGAATACTGCATACTATAGGTTGGAGCTTCGCTGATCATTTAATATATTAAAATGGTGATCTTTTGTATAATTATCTCTACCATACAAAAAATTTGGATTCAATTTCCTGTTCTTTTAACCGTTTATATTGAACCGCCTATCATGCGTAAATATAAAACGAGATACTAAATTGAGGGTAACTGGTTTATGGATATCTGACGTCAGCCTGCTGTGATATAAGCAGTGTTCTTCCATCATATACTAAAGGCTAGGCTCAATAAACCATGTTGGAAGAATTTAGCAATTTCGAGTAGATTATGTTGACATATAATTCTAATCGATTTAGCATATTAACGTTCATACTAACCAACACAATCCTATTTATGTCGAGTGTATTCATGTTGGTCAACATGAAATTAATAGAAGTAAAAATATGTTATTTGCTTTTCTCCACGAATCCCACACCTGACATTATATTATATTTCACTTTGTTTGGGTTCTGTTTCTTTCATATGTCAGAATGCACCCGGAATTCAACGAACACGATGAAAATGTAGTAAGCATAAGCATATACTGTTTTTAAATATTTTGTCATTTACAGTGATAAAGGTTAGGTTTTAAGAAGAACGTCCGCGCGGGAAAGAGCAAACCTATCATTGCTTCATGTAGCCTAGACGGAAAATAGCCAACTGATGTAGTTCCATATTTAAATATCGAGTCTCTATGCATCCATGTTTCAAAATCAATAACATAAACAAAGCAATCAGCAGATTTCATATTCCCCTTGCTCTATGACATGTTTCGTGCTGAACTCGTGCATGGTATTCAGATACGCCTACGTTCTTGAAACAGACACGTTCTGTACGTACAACTGAACATGTTACCTGTTTCTACCAAGAAGAGTATAGTAAATACAGTAGAACATGCAAAGTTTGATTACTACCTCTGTTCAACCTCTGTATAATTCAAATACCTATCTCTACATGAGTAAACACATATTGCAGTTAGTGTTTTATGTACACTCTGGTTCAAGTGTCAGTCATGTACAAGTACGTCCAAGTGTATATCTATAATATTACTTACAAACCGGAGAGTAGCTGTTCGGATACGGCAGATGTGTGGTGAAGCAGGTTTAGGTATGAGAAATACTCGCTTTTGTTGTGTTCATCCATCACATTTAAATTTTATAAAGCAATTAAACCGTCATGTGTTTGTTAAGTCATAGTATAGACCTTCATTGTCGGATCAATGCTTATTACTTTGCAGGTAACTTCGGGCAAATAATGATGTGTCTAATTTTAATGATAACAATGTTTTCCACGTTTTTTTTAGAATTTAATTGCTTAAACATATAACCTTCTCTCAGAATGATCAATAGTCAATTCCAACACACTTGTTTAGCACTGAAATGATTGTGTAAGAAACAAGGAGTGGCTGAACAGTAACATATATTCTACAAGAATTAAATACTATAAGACATGTTAAAATATTAATACTTGGTTCAAAACCTGGAAATGGGTGTATCAGGCCTTCATTAACCACAAAACAGTAATTGTTCATTACATTCCTCCTGCCTCATTTGAATGGCAACAATAAAACAAGTTGTTAAAAAAGGTCGGCAAACCACCATTGCTAATGATATATTAGAGTAGATTGATCAATAACCCATCATTAACTTACAGTTGTCCCGGTGCTGTACAAACGATTTCGATGCCTCACCCACAGAGAAACGACTTGTAATTGTCAAAGATTGTTAAGTACACACTCGTAACAGTAAATAAATAAATGATAGGACACACTGATTGCATTTAGGTGCATTGCCAACAACACATAAAACAGCACTTGAAGAGTGTATTAACACTTAGGGTCCAACCATTTGATATTCTAGGGACGGGTTGACCCCTGTGGTTTTATCGAAAAAATAGATTGTCCCATGTCCCATGAAAAATAATAAAAACAAAGGGAAAATGAATAGCTCAATCGACTTCAGTTCACACCAACTGTTCTCTTAGCACATCCTGTCCTCACGTCTGTAAACTCTGAAACATTTACATAAATAGAACTTTTATTAAACTCTTTCAAACGACCCTTGCAATGACCACATCCTAGTTTAGAAAATCTGCTATCTTCCACTGGGTACCAACAATCGCTTTCTGCCCATTGATTCAACCAAGATACACATTGGGAATCTAACGATTCTTTGTTGATGGATGTGTGCTTTAAACAGTGTAAAGTACTTGTCGTCATTTGTCACACTATCATAATGTCATATATATTTACATTTGATGATATCCCCTGGGCTTCAAGTTTCATGACGACATGTTGAGATGACTTCTTGAAACAGACATTATACATTAAAGGGTTCCGGGTTTTTTCTAATAAACGATTTTTTTAGTGAAACGTAGCTAAACTCTAATATATACGACAGTTCACATGATCTTTCCGGATTTTCCGGAAGCCCCATACAACTTGATAGAAAAAGTGAAACCACAAGTTGGTGCATTGGTGGAGGTTTGAATGTATGTGTATATGAATTCATGTAAGCAATAAATTATATAAAACCTTTTTTTACATCGAGGCAGTCACTGCTTAGCTCATATCGAACTACTGTTTGTGTCTTTGAGACCGTATTACCTGCGACGTGGGTTATGTCAAATATAATTCATTCTTGATTGTAACCCGCCAAGTGCCAACAACAAGAAAGATGCAGATTACATCTATGAATACGTTTAACCATTGGAAAAAATATCTCTGGATCCTCATTTGTAATGGGTGACTTTGATAGTAGTACTGTTAAGGGTACATTTGAGTCACTATGAGCAATATGTAACTTGTGCTACTCGTAATTCAGAGACGATAGATATATGAGATGGCAACGTGAAAAGATGCTTACATAGCAAGCAACAAAGGTCCAGTCGGGGCATCGGACCACTATGGAGTACATCTGTAAATGGTATCCCAAAGAACAAGCAGAAAGTAAGGCTGGTAAAGGTAATGCACGAACCCTGTTTGCATATTTTTCCTCTGCTTTTAACACCAATAAACAGAAGCTGACTCATCTGAATGTCAACCCCATCTCACTAGATTTAGTTTCTGCTTTCTTCTCAACAGATCACAGTATATACCTCTTATCTGGATTATTCAACACTGGGGTTCTCCAAGGTTGTGTTCTACCTACAGTACTATTCATACTTTACGACAATAATTGTGCCAGCACTTTTCACAAATGGTCAACGGCGAAGTTTGGTGATGATGCCACAATTAGCAGCCTACTTTTCGACAGTGAAGACACTTAAAAGAAGATATTGGCGCATTTATTAAATGTTGTGATGACTTTTTAATCATTAACGTGTAGAATAAAACTGACTTTTCACGAAATATGGATGCTGTGTATGATAAATGCTCATCACTTCTTCACTTGTTAAGAAAACTGAGAACTTTTACTGTTGACTGTTCTGTCGTGTTACTGTTTTATAAAAGCTGTATTCAGTCTGTTTAAATTTTCGGCATTTAGTGCCCGTATGGACCAATCTCACTACAGGACAAAACCAAACTGAAAAAAATCATTAATTTTGGAGGCAAAATATCAGGATGGCTTGTCTCGACTCGACTCGACTCGACTCGTACCTCGAGTGCAAGTTAAAACTCTTGACCAAATTCCCTTGATTTGATTTCACCAATCCCAGGAATCTGTGATATTCATTAATTTCCTGTGTACCTACCCCTTGCCTCCAGTTACTTTAGCATGTTAATAGTAGCCCAATATTGAATTACTGTAGCCTTTGACGTTGTGTTATGCACAAACAATTACGCCTTTCATCTGAATATGTACATCTAACACCTACATGTAACATATGTTATATTTGGGATTACACTCTCTTTGTAAAGTACAGATTCTAGAACTAACACCTTCCTGTTCTGCAGTCATACTGGAGTGAAGAAGCCTGTTATGTACACACGAGGGTAGTGATGACAACAATCGGTGAAGCCAGTGACATAAACAAAGGATGAAGCCAGTAATATAAACAAGAGGATTATGGCTGATTGGGGTCTTTGATGAGTTGATGGTACGCCGGGGGAATGTTGTTTGTTTGTTTGCTTAACGCCGCAGTCAGCAATATTCCAGCTATCTGACGGCGGTCTGTAAAATAATCGAGTCTGGACCAGACAATCCAGTGATTAACATCGTAAGCATCGATCAACGCAATTGGGATCGATGACATGTATCAACAAAGTCAGCGAGCCTGACCACCCGATCCCGTTAGTCGCCTTTTACGACAAGCATAGACGCCTTTTACGGCAAGCATTGGTTGCTGAAGACCTATTCTAACCCGGAATCTTCACGGGCCCCGGGGGAATGTAAAATCCTTGGTCACGGTTGACGGTTGGAGTCTTTTGATGTTAATGGCTTCTTGTAGTTTTCTGATTTTGAAGTCTTTCAGGATGGTGGTGAGGGCTTTGACTTTATCCCACTGAATACTGTGGCTTGGATTGTCACGGGTGTGGTCTGATAGAGCTGATTTAGGGTATATCTTTGAAGACTGAGCTTTGATGTTCTGTAATTCGGGTTTTGAGGGGCCTAGATGTTTCTCCAATGTAAGCTTGTCCTCAATTGCACGGCATGTGGTACACGGCTCCTGATGGTTCGAGCTTGTGGCTGGATGGTACTTTCCCTGTGGCTTTTATTGTGTTCTGAATTGTATGACTTCTCTTGAAAACTACATCAATGTTGGCCTGTTTCTTAAGGAGTCTCTTGATTTTGTGGCTAACTGTTCCAAAGTAGGGGAGGCTGATCACAAAGGGTGCAGACTGTTGACGGGGAGATTTCTGAGATTTCTTGGTGATGTTCTGTATCGTCTGTTGTACTAGTTGCTCAGGATAGAGGTTATACTGTGTAAATACTTGTTTGAGGTGGCTTATTTCAGTAGTTAGATGTTGCTTCGTAAAACAGATGTTGTGAGCTCGTCTCACTAGGGTTGAAACAATTCCTTTCTTGACTTGAGGTGGATGGTTGGAGGCATAGTGTATGTATGACTCCAGACCATTTTTTATCGGAAACCTACCCACACAGATCAAAACATACACTATGCCTCCAACCATCCACCTCAAGCCAAGAAAGGAATTGTTTCAACATCTGTTCTACGAAGCAACATCTAACTACTATACCACAGGGTTACCCATGAAACGAACATGGAAGGGCTAACAAGACTAGCTGAAATAGTAGGCAAAAATGGGATAATCCTTGGTGACTTTAATGCCCACAACCCTCTATGGGACGACAGGAATGAGTCGTGCAAATAACGCAAAATGATAGAAAATGGGTTGAGGACGACAATCTCATAACTCTGAACAACGGCAGTCACACACGTTATGACCAAGTCCACAACACGTGGAGTTCAATTGATCACACAATTGCCACCAACAACCTCGCGGCACATTGCCAATGGCAATACTCACCTACATAGGTAGCCCACCACAATTAGAGGAACAGCCCAATCCTCAGCCCACATGGGACTGTGCAAAGGCTGTTTGGCCTAAATTAAAGAAGAAATGTATATCATTCAAATCCTCTGAAATTGCCTCGGACAATCCTGATCTTTTTGGCCAAAATCTCACCTCAGCAATTATTGCTGCAGCTGAAAAATCAACTAAAAAAACACAAAACTGGCAAAACTCTGGTACCATGGTGGAACAGGGAAATAGCAAAAGCTAGGAGACTGAGAAAGAAAGCCCTAAATAGGTACAAAAGTCTGAGCTGCCAGGACAAAAGTAAGACAGCTCATGGACGATTCTAAAAAAGTGTCATCGCAGACCTTCTGCAAATCTCTTAATGAAAAAACAAATGCTAACACAGTCTGGAGCAAAACACATGCAATCAGGGGTAAGTGTAAACCAACAAAAACTCCCAAATTAGCCAACGCCCACACAGTCAAAGAAAAGGCCAACATTCTAGCCGAGCACTTCTCATCTGTCAGCAGCAACAGAAATAGCAGCAAAGAATTCAGACAGGAAAAAAGGCTTATGCTTAAGATATCAAAATAGCCGCAAAGCAAGCATCTGGTATACAATATACCATTTACTGTGACAGAGTTTGATGATGTGATATAACATAGAAAAGGCACAGCACC